CAGTGTCGTGTTGGCCGTCACCTCGTGCACTGGGGGGGGGGGGAGGAGGAATGGCAGGTGGGAAGGAGGAGGGGGGGGGGTTGGAGGAGGGGAGACGGGAGGAAAGGAAAATTATGAGAGCAGCTTGCTGGCATCGTACAGAGTCGTGTTGGGCCAAAAAAAAAAAAAAAAAAAAAGTCACATCATGCACCCAATTCTGGAGGAGGATGGGGTCAGCAAGAAAGTGGGGGAGGAGAGGAAGAGTGGGGGAGGAGAGGAAGAGGGGGGGAATGGTTGGCTCAGAGGACAGAACCAGCAGACTTAAAACAACGGCAGTTTAGAAGGTGGCTCATACCCGATGTGACTTTAGGGAAGAGCGAAATCGGCAGCAGCGCCAGCACCTGGCTCACGGCAACCAGCTTCTTTTCAGTCACCTCGTCTGCAGTCACCCTCCGCGCCCTCTCCCTCTCCGCCTCACCTTCCGCCCTTCCCCCTTCCGCCCTTCCCGCTTCCGCCCTTCCCCCTTCCGCCGCCCTCTCCCCTCCGCCCCACTTCCCCTCCCGCCGCGCCTGGTGCTGCTCGCGCCCAATCTGCTCCCACCTCCTCGATTTTCTCCTTGAGACTCGCGGGCGGCGCCGCCACATGAATCAGCGCCCTCTCCCGCTCCGCCGGAGCCTCCCCAGTTCCGCCGCCAGGAGCGCCCCCCGCGCGGCCAACCTCCGCCGCCATACTGCTGCACTTACTGGATCAAATAATGTCGCGCACGGAGCCCGCGAACTTGCCTTTGCGCCTACAGGTGCTCAAGAACGGCGAGAACAGGGGGATAGTAGAATGGCTCTCTCTAAGCGAGAAGCCGGCCGACGCACGAGATGATGGCACCGCTTTAACGAAGCACGAACGAAAAGCGGAAAGGGATCGTCGTTTCTACGACCAGGAAGAAACCCAACTGAAAAGCTTGGTGCATAGAGCTTGGAAGAGCTTCGAGCATCCAAGAGTGATTCGCTCTACCAGCTCGTATGTCGCTCTGGAAGGAATTACCTCAAGAACGCGTGCGTCGATCGTACCGCCCTGGCTGCAACCCTCTTTCCTCTTCTCGAACCGAAACGCTCAAACGCGATTCGGACTCGCGAACAAGAAACGACAGAAGGGACACCGCACACAGGTGGATACCATCTCAGAGAAGAAAGACGAGACGAGGGGAGACGAGACGAGCAGCAGCGGCCTGCTGAAGGGAATTCGCGCCACGGGATGCGGAAATTGAGCATTTGAGGCGTCCGCACAAACAAGAATCGAGTCGCAGTTGGATGATGTGATGATGCGGCGACGTACGTATGCGTGGCCCTTCAAAAGCGCATGAATAACGCGCAGACGTCATCTCACTACAACTCCAGCACAGCATTCCTCTGCGCCAGCGCAGCAGCACGACGAATGAACGCGTGACAGAGCGATACAGGTATGCGCGGACGCGGCAGCGGGGACTGGAACAGCCATGCCATCAGCCATGACCCTGTGCCGAGGGCGAGGGGCACGGTGTAGGCATGGCGAGGGCATGGGCGATCGCATTGTTACCCATCCTTGTGGCGTGGCGATAACCCCCATGCTCGGCAGATCGATGTGCATGGCGCTCGAGCATCTCAATTCTCGAACCAAATTTCGCCTGACCTTCACACAGCTCGAGACAGTCTCCGACGCGGAGCGCGCTAAGCTATGCAGCCTTCGCGGGATTTACGCTGGACACGTGAGTGCGTTGTCTTCCGCTGCATTGGTGCCCTCGCCAATGTGCTGTATTCGAGAAAGGTAATGGGTGTGAGTTGTCATGTCAGCGCACACTGTATATCACGCTTTTGAGCTGGCTCTTAAGCATGCTGTAACTACACTAGAACGTTTTTTGATAGAGCAAACGCTACAAATCACAACCATACGCAAGTAACCACCCAAGCAAGTCAACCAGCTGTAGACGAGCGCTACGGTAATGGAGGTGCTGTGAGTGAGCACCTCACAGTGCATTGCTATGTATGAAAGACGACACACCTACTGTATCCACCCATCACTGCACACTGCATCACAAAACCTAGAATTTTCTGTACGAAACCATGGCCACTACCTCAGCAGCAGCTCGCCCTGTCAACAACCTTAATCACAGTGTAACCTGTTTTCTAAAGTAGCAAATTGAAGACAAGCGTTACGCGGAGAACTCGTCATCGTTGTTGAGCATGGGCTGCCGTGCCACCTGCTGGTCGTTCTGACTGTCCAGCGGCATGTACTGCGCCATGATGGCCCGGATCTCCGAGTCCATGTATGACTGGTGGAGGAGAGACGGGTTAAGGTGGGGTGGGCGGGGAAGAGGGAGAGGGGAGAGGGGGGTTGGCGAGAAGATTGATGAAAAACGCAAGGATTATCTGATCCACCTGTTCAGAGGCATGCACTGCGGCATGATGGCCCTGATCTCTGAGTCCATGTATGACTGGCATGTGATGAGTCGATTTTTTACCCAACTAAAGAATCGACTAGCAATCGAGGAGGGCGATGGGATGGGGGGGTTTGGGGTTGGGGGGAGTTGAAACAAGGTATTCAAGTCGTAAATCTCCTGTCCAGCGGCATGTACTGTGCCATAATGGCCCGGATCTTCGAGTCCCATGTATGACTGGTGGAGGAGGGAGGAAGAAATGCGACAAGGCCTGTCTGTTTGAAATGCGGAGAGGCAGCCCTGCACAGGTGGTGCCTGTGTTGCTGTGCGCATGTGCAACGGGGTTTGGCTGGTGTGTGTTGTGCAGTGCATTGTTCAGTGCGCTGGTGTGCTGGAGTGCTGTGTGCCAATCCAAATGTGGTGCGTTCTTAACTTTTGAGTCGACTCAAAAGTGCGCTGGCGTGCTGGTGTGCTGTGTGCCAAATGTGGTACGTTCTTGGCTGCATATATAGCGCGGCACAGACGAAATAAACTAAGCACTCGCAGAACCCTCCACTCACCCTGACCCCCTCCACTCACCCTGACTGTCCACTCACCCACACCCTGAGTCTCCACTCACCCTGAGGCGGTACTTGTACACGATATAAGCCACGATGGCCACAGCGACCAGTGAGCCCAGCACAATGGAGTCGACTCAAGAGCCTCAACTCACCCTGAAGGGACTCCACTCACCCTGAGGCGGTACTTGTACACGACATAAGCCACGATGGCCACAACCACGAGTGAGCCCAGCACAATGCCCGCCACCATTCCCCACAGCCGCGTGGGCGGTGTGCCTCCCTCCTTGCCTGCAGGTGGCGAGGGGCGTAGTCAGGCAGGGAATGGGGGAGGGAGGGACGAGAAAAGAGGGGATACTATGAGTCGACTCAAATAGACTCACAGCTGCGTGGTGGGCACGCCGCCCTCGTCTGCAGGTGGAAATCCTAAGTAAAACACACTGATGAGCCAGACACACGTTTATGCAGCAACTAGTAAGTTACTCACTGATGCACGTGTCCGAGACCTTGAGGTAGACCAGCCCGTTGTGGCACGAGCACTCGCACAACCGAAACACAACAATGGTTCCCAGCCTACGTTTATGCAGTAACTAGTTAGTTACTCACTGATGCACGTGTCCGAGTCCTTGAAATAAACCAGCCCGTTGTAGCTCGAGCACTCGCACGACCCAAAGGTGTTCTTGCAGTGACAAACGAATGACACTCCTTATTCACATCCCAACAGCACGCCACTCACTCATGCATGCCACGTGCACACCCATGCACGCCAACTCACTGATGCAAGTATCCGAGTCCTTGAGATACACCAGCCCGTTGTAGAACGAGCACTCGCACGACCCGAACGTGTTCTCGGTAGGCAACTCACACTCATTCACATCACATCCCAACACCAGGTCACTCAACCATGCACAGCACTCACTGATGCACGTGTCTGAGTCCTTGAGATACACCAGCCCGTTGTAGCACGAGCACTCGTACGACCCGAATGTGTTCTTGCAGTGGCAGTCCACACAGCTGCATGCGCTGTGCTCGGAGCACTCGTCTATGTCCTCACACTTGAACCCATCTCCCCTGAAGCCTGGCGGGCACACACACTGGGTCGATGAACTGTCCTGCTCGGTGGGGAGTGGTGGAGAAGGGTGGAAAAAGAGAGGAAGAGGTGGGGTAGGGTGGGGTGGGAAGGTAAATGGGAGAGGGCGGTGCGGACGGGGCCTGTGCTCGGATCACTCGTCTATGTCCTCACACTTGAACCCGTCTCCCCTGAAGCCTGGCGGGCACACACACTGGGTCGATGAGCTCTCCTGCACATGTGAAAGCAAGGATGAGGAAAGAAGGCAGGGTTGGGGAAAGGGAGGTGAGCAAGGGTGCTGTGCTCCGATCACTCGTCTATGTCCTCCCACTTGAACCCGTCTCCCCTGAACCCCGGCGGGTACACACACTCTGGATGAGCTGTCCTGCTCGGGTGAAATGGCGGATGGAGATGCGGGCAGAGGGCGGGGTTGGGAGTAGATAAGTGAGCAAGGGTGCTGTGAACTCTGTGCACTCGTGCAAGGTGTGCAATCGTCAAAGTCCCATCCCGTCTCCCCTGAAGCTGGTAGGCAAACAAGCTTTGCACCTACCTGGCAGAGGCAGGTAGACGAGATTCGGTTCCAGGCCACAAGTGACGCGGGCAAGTGACATGACATGTGCCTCCCTTACAGGCAAAAGCAACGCTTGGCACCTGGCAGGCACGTTTGGCAATTTGGAAGCCGGTGAAGGTTATGCTGTCTAGAAGCAACGCACCTGGCAGGCAGTGAAGGTTTGGCCATCGCCAGCCCCCTGCCAGCAGCCGCCATTGTTGACCAGACAGCGACCCACCCCCGTGGCTGCAGGGGACGGATGGGGGCGTGGGGGAAGGGGGGAAAGGGGAGAGGGGAAGGGGGTCGTTGTGTGCGCCCAGCCAGGAGTCTTCTGTTTATTTAGTGCCTCAAATCAGAGGGAATGTGGTGAACTGCACTTGGTCATACTCTCTCATTGCATGATCTCTCACCCCATGCTCTCACCCCATGCTTACAAGGTCACAGTGTGCACACTGCCAGAAGCCATACTCCCTCACACCCATGCTCTCTCGCCCATGCTGCCTCGCCCCCATGCTCCCTCGCTCCATGCTCTCCCTCCAACCTAACCCTTATCTGCAACCACACCACTAAATCCCGTTCAACCACATGCACTCACATTCACACTTGTTGCAACAATCACGTGACAGGTACACGGCAGTCTGAGCCAACAATGCTACAATGCTACCCCATAAGTTTTCACCCCAACCCCGCAACCACCCGCATCCCACCACACACTACGTGCACCCACACAAGTCCCTTGCAGCACACCCAGTGCACTCCTGTTCGCCCCTTGGTGTAGCCGTTCACGCCAGTCTGGGGGTCCTTGGGGCACTGCTATCCCACCTTACCACCCCCACCCAACCCACCCCTCCCGACCGCACCCCACCGCACATGTTCACCCACAGCAATCCCTTGCGATGCCACCACGTTCGCACTTGGTGTAGCCATCGCCCGACAGGTACACACCAGTCTGGGGGTCCTTGGGGCACTGGTATCTCACCCTTACCAACCCACCAACCCACCCCATCCCACCTCACCCCACCTCACCCCACTGCACATCTGCAAGCTCAGTAATCCCTTGCACCGCGCCCTATGCACCTTACGTTCGCACTTGGTGGTAGCCAATCTCCCGACAGGTACACGCCAGTCTGGGGGTCTTTGGGACACTCGCACACTCGCCTCGCGAACGTGTCCTGTTGGGGTGCATGGAGGACAGAGGCGGGTATGTGACATCTGAGTTGACTCAAACCTTTGAGAGCCCTTTAAGTCGCCCTCGGAACGTGTCCTGTTGGGGTGTCATGGGAGGGACAGAGGCGGGTATGTGACATCTGAGTTGACTCAAACCTTTGAGAGCCCTTAAGTCTGCCCTCGGAAAGTGTCCTGTTTGGGGCGCACAGAGGCATGATGCAGGGCTTCTTCAAGCATTTAGTTTTGCTTCATCTCACACGAGTGGTGACAATGCAGGCTTCATAAAAGCGCGGGACTTAGGATGTGTGTACGCGTCGTGCGTGTCATGTTGGGATGGGACGGACGGACAGAGCGCATGGGAGAAGGTGCGTGGGTGGGTGGGAAAGAGCAAAAACCTTTCATGTGCAAGTGCAACGTAGCCCTGCCAGCAGCCACCACTTTTCAACATGCCTCAAGAATCGTACCTTGCATGCAGTGAGGTTGGTTGTAGCCCTGCCAGCAGCCGCCATCATTCATCTGTGCCTCATGAATCGTACCTTGCAAGCAGTGAGGTTGTAGCCCTGCCAGCAGCCGCCATTATTTGACAAGCACTCGTTCGTCTGCACATCTGCACCAGCATTTGTATTAAAATGGTGGAAGACGGGATGTTGGAGGGAAGGGAGTTAAGAACTTTTAGTGCCCACAGGAATCCGAAACAAGAAAATCAAATGAACCAATTCACATAGATATTAAAAAACCCTTCAAAACTTGACTTATTTCTGTCCTTTCTATCTGCTCGAGGATCAGCCAGAACACTTTTTTTTATCTAGATCCTCCCCAAAAAATCCCGAATTGAACGCTGGGCTTCCCATAACCTGCCTCCAAGGCACACAGGAGGTGTCGGTGGTTTCCTTAAAGCCGAGCAGACGGCCTTCAGCACCGCCTTTGAGTCCAGCTTGCCTGAGCGGGGGGGGGGGTAAGAAGAGCCAGAGAGGAGTGGGAAGGGGTAACGATGAGTAAGGTAGGATAGGGAGAAATCACTAGCGTTGTTTGCTACCTTGAAAAACGGCAGTGAACAGAGGTGGAGGGCGGTGAGGAGGGTGGGGGGAGAGCTGGGAACAGCATAGCATGGAGGGGGGAACGAGAGACGAGTCACACACAGCAGACACAGCACAGCGGAACAACATTACAGTTACAAAAGAAACGATTTTTTTCACTCAATGCTGTGCTGTAAGTTGCTGATAATCACCGTGGGCAAGATGGTGATGACATCACCATGCTTACTTTCCTAGTCTGCACTGCACCTACTGGATTTTCTCTGCCCCTCCCGCCCTCTTTCCCTCACTCCCCTCTCTCTCTCTCCCCCTCCCTCCCTTCCCTTTTCTCCCCTCTCTCCTCCTTCCCCCCACCGACTGCGGTGCCGCTTGCTGTTGATGATCACAGGTGGGGGACGGTGAAAACACCACTGTAATTCCCTGTTCCACACTCCACACTCTGCTCTCTTTCCCTCCCTCCCTCGTTCTCCCACTCATCGCGATACTGCTTGTTGTTGGATAGTGGGCATCACAGTGGGCAGTGGGCAGGATAGTGGCATCGCCACCACGGTTCCTGACTCAAACACCGCACACTCATATCTCTCCCTCCCCTCCTCCCTCCCTCCCCCACTCACCGCGGGTACTGCTTTGTTGTTGATGATCACGGTGGGCAGGATGGTGACGTCGCCACGGTCGCCCTGTGCCAATCTGCACAGACAGCGCAACAATGAATCATCAGCATACTCAACGAACCCACCCAATAGGTTTCCAGGAATCAGACTTACTTTCCTCGCATCTTGTAATGCTTAGGCCCCAAGCAACCCTTCTTTCTCACAACTCTGGGCCCCAGTTCCGTCTCTAACCCACCCTTCCTCCTCAGACTTGTCATTTGTTTGTTATTTCAGTTTTTCAAATCCCTTTCCTCGAATCAACCCGTCCCTTTAACTCTCCTCCTTTCGCACTTGATGAACGAATTCCCTTCCCCGCATCTCCCACCTGCGACTCATGCTCCACCTTGATCACAGCATCATCCCTCGACCCTGACAAGTCCCTCTTGTCAGGGACACAGTGCATAAACACCACCCCCCCTCTCCTCCCCCCCACCCTCCTCACCTTTCCCCACTCTTTCCCTCCACTCCCCGCGCCTCACCTGCGCCTCCTGCTCCGACTTGAGCAAGAGGTTACCCTGGTCCTTGGTGGGGTCATTTTATTCCCATCTGTACAATTACAACTTCTCCCTCCCCCCTCCCTCCCCACGGACCCACCTGCGCCTCCTGCTCCGACTTGAGCAAGGGGTTATCCTGGTCCTTGGTGGGGCCACTCTGGGTGGCTCTATACTCTATCCACTCATTACACTGCCCAATCCACCCACCAACCACCTCCTCCCTTCGTGTATGTGTCACCTGCGCCTCCTGCTCCGACTTGAGCACGGGGTTGTCCTGGTCCTTGGTGGGATGCTCGAATCAGTACCACAATGCAAAAATCCCACTTCCTCCCCCCTTTCCTCCCTCACACACCCACCTGCGCCTCCTGCTCCGACTTGAGCACGGGGTTGTCCTGATCCTTGGTGGGATCGCCCATGCACTCGCGCACCTTCGCCCACGCGAGCCCTGCAGGAGAGGTGAAGGGCAGCAAGCCGCGGACGGGAGATGGTGACAAGCATGCAAGCATTTGTCCTGGTCCTTGGTAGGGTCGCCCATGCACTCGCGCACCTTCTGCACGTCTAACCCTGCGGAACGTGCATGGGAGCGATGGGAAGCAGGATCGGGGGAGAACGTGCAAGGGGGAAGCAGGATGGGGGGAATGGCGGGATCAGGGGACACAGGACGGACGGTAACGGGGAGTGAGGGGAGATTGTAAGAATTCTTTGTACAGGGGTTTGAGTCCTTTCTGAAACGGTGGGGGCGAAGAACAAGGGTCATGCAGACCCCAGGAGAAAAGGACGCCGAAAGGAATCCATGGCCAAGGGAGAGAAGGACAACAACAATGACACACGTGGTGACAATGATACACGTGGTGACAATGATACATGTGGTGACAATGATACATGTGGTGACGATGATACATGTGGTAATGACGATACATGTGGTGACAATGACACATGTGGTGACGATGATACATGTGGTGAAGATGATACACGTGGTGACGATGATACACGTGGTGACGATGATACACGCGGTGACCATGATACACGTGGTGACAATGATACACGTGATGACAATGATACACGCGGTAACAATGACACGTGGTGACAATGACACACGTGGTGACAATGACACATATGGTGCTCTCCGCACACCCTAGCACGTACGTGATACCCGCCATGCGACAGCGCCTCTTGTGTGAGAGGATGCACAAGCAGAAGTGCACGCACACCCCGACGCACCTACAAAGACCTATCCATGCATTTGGGTGTATGTCCCACACGCGCGCACCCACAAATCCATGCCCGCGTTTTTTTTGGTGCGTAAATTTCTCACACACAAATACCCACACACACATACCCACGTTTTCGTATTGTGCGTACGCCCCAGACCCACACGCACCTACCAGGACCTATTCACGCATTCTTGTACATGTCTCACTCACACGCAAGCACCCACAAATACGTACCCAGCGCAGTGATGATGCTCTCCGCGCATTCCGGCCCGTACGTCTTGTCCGCCATGCGGCAGCGCTTCTTGAAGTCCGTCACATAGTCCCACCACAGCCACGACCCGTGCGTCTCGTTCGCCACGCGGTGCACGCACAGCTGCCTCAGATTTCTCCGCCACCACGTCCTTCCCATCATACCCCACGTCGAAATCCTCCTCGGGATCCGGCGCGCAGTACCTCCCGGCGTTAATACACTGCGTCTTGCACTGCCGGCTTTCCAAATACGCCTCCGGGCAGTACCAGGTGATGTAGTGTGGCGTGAACAGCGTGTACCCGCCCTGCTCTAACATTATCGCGTAGCCCTTAAACGCGTCCAGAAACTCCGCCTGGGAGTCGCACTTCGGCCCGCACTCGTCGTTGCTGTTGGTCCAGAATTCATACTCGACACGCTCGTCCGGATGCGGCAGCGCTTCCGCCAGTCCAACGAAACCATCACCGGACCGCTCTTGAGCCCCTTTTTAATCAGATCCGCCGTCGATTTCTGAACCAGCGCCGACGGAATCGTGATCTTGTCGACCATGCGCGCCGCGTCGGGATCGTCCTCGGGAGTGTCCATTGTAAGGAGATTCTCGTCCTTGTCGTCCGCGACGATCACGGCGGATGCCCCGGCCTCCTGCGCGTTGAACACCTTGTCCGTGAAATAGCAACCTGGAGTGACAGGAGGGACGCACAGGGTAGGGGTAGTACGGGAGAGGCGCATAGGGATGGTGGCGTTGAACGACCTCGGGAGTGTCCACGTTGAGGAGGTTTTCGTCCTTGTTGTCCGCGACGATCACGGCGGACGCGCCGCCTCCTGCGCGTTGAACACCTTGTCCGTGAACTAACAACCTGGATTTGGGGCATAGTGTGACAGGATCTAACGTAGGATACTACGTGAGAGGCAAATAGGGATACTTATTAGCGTTGAACGGCCTCGGGAGTCTCCATGTTGAGGAGGTTCTCGTCCTTGTTGTCCGCGCCGATCACGGCGGACGGCCGCACCGGCAGGCATCCTGCGTGCTAAGGACCTTCCAGTGAACTCGAGACCTGGTGTCGCGGCATGGTTTTGAGGGATAAGGAGACGTGGGAGACACGTAAGCAATGGAAATTCGCCATAAACACATCCTTATTGTAAGGTAGCAGCCTGACGTCAATACTTTTTTTTTGGAATAGGGTAACGTGAGCGACACGTAAAGAACGAATATTCGTCCTAAAGGTCCTCCGGAGTGTCATATGGTGAGCGAATTCTCGTCCTTATCGTTCGCATCCATCACGGCGGACATTCCAGCTATTTCAAGATTGTATCACCTAAAAGGTGAAGTAGAGCCTAAATTCGAGAAGAATGTGACGGGAGACAAGTACAACGCATCACTCTCAAAACGATATGAAAGAAAAATATGGATCGACAAGCATGAAAAGAAAAAAGAAAAAAAAGAAAAAAAAAAAAAAGAAAAAAAAGGACGAAATACCAAATCGATGTGCAGCACAGCCGTGAACAAATCTGTAAATTACTCCCAGCAAAGCGGAATTCAAGGTGAAAATATTCCCAAATAGGTCAAATACCAAAAACCAATCGCACCTCCGCGGTCAACGATGACGATATTCGGCATGCCACCGGCCTTCGTCGCAAGGTCGTTCCCCTTGTACGGCTTGCACATGTCGTTCGATTTCGCCGGATACACCACCGAGCCCTGCAGCGAGCCGCCGTACTGCGGGATGCCGAAATTAGCTATGGCGCTGAGGTACTCGCCACGGATCTTGTCTGGGGAATTGATCATGAGGCTGTGCGACTCGACGACGAAGCGAGCCGACGCAGTTTGGAAACACCATGCGAGAACGAAGGTTAAAGCTACGAGCAACACGCGGCGAGCCATGGTCGCTGTGACCTGATTCAAGATCAGCACGAACGTGCAACTACCGTAACTGAAGGCAAGCAGAAACCGAATTTACCTCTAAACCGAACGTGCTACGCAAGAACCGCGTGATGAAGCTAGACGCAGACAGAAACAAACGCAGGACTGCGCTGCCAGAGCTCGTATGCCAAGTCCCAGCCTCTCTGCTGTGCTCTGCTGGCTAATTGGCACCAGAGCACATATGGGAGGGAAGCGAATCTGACAGAACGGTAGGTTCCTGATCTGGCAACACAACTTCAAGGACCGTACCTAAATGTTTTGAATCTTTTAAAGTCCAGCAAATAAGATTTCGAACCGAATGCAACCGCTATGAACAAGTGAAACTGGAATAATTTCGGATACACTTGACCTGAAGTTGAGTCAATCACACAGGTGACCACAGGGAACTCCTCGGCGACGACGACTGGAACTTGAATACGTCGTTGACGACATTGGCGATGCGAATAGCTGAGCGGGAACAGAGTGAGGGGGAAGTTGTTCTTGCGACAGGTCGGCGCGGCGAGTGTATGTGGTCGCAGATGACGTCGTCAGCTACAGTACACCCAGCTATCGAAGCTGCGATGGGGAAATGGAGTTCTTCTGGTCGTCCGACTTTCCCGCCTGTGCATGATGATGTCAATCAACTGGTCAAAAGCTGACAGGTGGCTGGAAACCAGTGGTTTGAAGAACGCACGAATTTGGGTTCGGCAAAAATATGATATCTTGCCGGATGGGTTCCGTACGGAAAATGTAGATTGCCGGATTTTTTGGAAATGAATTTCCAGTAATCAGAGGTGCTTAGAAGCGACACTTCAACAAAGGAGCACTGTCAGGAGCCCCCGCTTCATGCACTTGAAACAATCTCTTCGGCGAAGAAGACTCGTGTGTTTGACCTTTCAATTCGTTAAGCGTGCGATTATCGGTAACCCGGCGTCGCTGTCGCAGCCCTCTTGCAAAGCACCCACACATCCACGGATCCAGGCGATCCCAGCAGCATGCATGGTGTGAGTGCCACGCCATGGCGGCTCATTGGGAGTTGCGTGCTTCCAAAACGCAAGCAACCTTTCAGCATGCAGCAAGCAGACTTAGGAGACAACTTCAAGCTCCGCTGTCGGTTCCAAAAATCGCGGTGCCGGAGATTTGTGAAGAATCGTTGCCATGAATATTCACGCGACAGTTTCGTTCATTCAGGCGTGCCAAGAATCTCTCGTGCTTTCAGGCATTACTTCGGAAGACATGTCTTTATATTTCAGCCGGGCACGTATGATTTGAAAACATAGTCATTCAATCGTCAATCATATCTACAACACCAATTTGCAGTGAAACGGGGAAAAATGCTGCCTGCAAATCGCCTCGTCTTCTTTATTTTGCGGCCAAGCCGCCAGGTGCGTTTGATTCGAGAGCGCTTTTCACGCTGCATGTGCTGTTTTTAAGGAGCATTGTGTTTCAGTATCCACGCGACAATTGCAGCTTGTGGTTGATTCACAAGTGTGGACCGTAGGATTTTTTTACAAGATCCGACGCTTTTGATGACACGCATGATGGCATATTGCTTAATGACTAGCAACTTTCTAGTGTGTGCTCCCTCCTCCACGCAGGTACTGGCCGGTAGGCGGCTGTTTGGTGTGGGAATAGGGGAGACTACTGAAGCAGGTACGGAAGCGGAGTTAACTCTAATCACTTCCCTTCGAATTTTCCTCACTTTTGGCCCCCCTCGCTTGCTCTGGCGTTCATGAAATGGTAACTCTGATAGACACAGGATTTCAATCCTTCCCTTTGTGTACGGCCCTGTGTGCCTCCAGGTCACCCTAAGAACCCCAACATGACTCCCAACGAAGATCGCTCTCCAGCCACCACTGACGACCTGACACGTGAAGCAGCTGAGTCAGCAGCACCAACCCCAGGAGGCGGTCCCACCAGCCTGATGGATGCGAGGGGTGAGAAGGAGCAGAAGTACTCCACGCATTTGAGGGCCAAGGGGTTTGCGGTTACAGAGCTGGAGCCTGGATGTGAGCGATGCTGAGGAGAAATTGAAGAGGCGGCCTGGATCTGGCCTAGGAGGAAGCAGGCAGACTGTTACCAGTGAGACTATTTCTGGGATGCCAAATTGATTAGTCTGCTGTCCTTTTCTCTGGGGGTTGTGCCACCAGTCTGATGGATGCGAGGGGTGAGAAGGAGCAGAAACACTCCACGCGTTGGAGGGCCAAGAGGTTTGTGCGGTGACAGCTAGAGCCTGGATTGCTGAGGAGAAATGAAGAGGCGGCCTGGATCTGGCTTGGGAGGAAGCAAGCAGACAGTTACTAGTGAAACAATTACAGGAATGCCATGTTGACCCCTGATTTCCCTTCTCTGGTGATGGGATGGTCCTTCCTGCCCTTGAAATGCCAGGCGATCGTAGGCAGCATTCAGTGTGCAGAGGGGCCTTGGCTATCGCAGTGGTACTTTGTAAATAATACTCTGTATTTTGCTTGTATGGTACGTCCGCCCAAAAGTGTTATTTGGTAGTATTCTGGCCTGATAGGCCACCGGGTTTGCAGTGATTGGATCTGGAGTGAGACGCTGAGGAGAATATGAAGAGGTGGCCTGCATCTGGCTTAGGAGAAAGTAGGCAGACAATTGCTAGCAAGACAATCTGAGTGTTAAGTTGAGTTTTCCATGCTCAACCATCATGCTAAGGGATGATATACCGATAATCTGTAACCAGATGCTAGCTACCGTGTCTTTGTTGGAGACCTGTACAACGTCCAACTACCTACCGGATATAAAAACCGGTGTGCACACTATGTAAATTGCTGTGGTTAAAATTTTAAAATCAGCTCAGTTACCACCTCCCACTTGTCTCCGCCACGTGTCTTCTATGATCAGCTCGTCTACACCCCAGTCCTCATAGCTGCAGTTGTGCACATAAAAGAGAAAGAAAAAGCGGCGGGGCGGGGGACGGTTGTTTCGGAATACAATTGAGAAAACGGCTGGTCCGCGCCAATCCACAAAGCGAAACAAAAAACAGCATACAGGGAGTTTTTTAGAATTCTCAGAAACTCCCTGCAGCGTGCAGGTTCTCCAGACACACCTTCCGTCAGGCAGGTATCTGCGAATGGTGAAAGGAATCTTCTTCTCACGTAGCTCACGCATGGCAATCTGTCACAAAATGAGCGCAGCACATATGAGAATAACGAGACGGGGTTAGGGCAGACACTGACACACACATGCCACACACCCACGTGACATGACACGTCATGACAGGCAGTGAACAGAATGCTGTAGCTCCACAAGAGATGCACTGGCATCGTTGGAAGCACATCCGAAATTTCATAGCTCGCATGCCATGCCACTCATGCCACTCATGCCACTCATGCCACTCATGCCCACTCATGGCACTCATGGCACTCAACTAGTACACAGAAAAGAGCGTGTCGTACAGCAGAGGGAACGGTGGACCGGGGAAGAACTCAAAATGGGCAACCATGCAGCAAGGCACATTGTGTGGCTGCAAGCAAGCAAGCCACGTGGCATACCTCAAGAGGGTCGGTCTCTCCATGCAGCTCCACCATCACAGGCGCGTTCATGCTGAAAGGGGCAAGGAATGCAAATGGTCGGGAGTCGGGTGGGGGGGGTTAACCATGAGAGGGATTGAGGTTTCTGCAATTGACACAACTTGTCTCCCCATGCAGCTCCACCATCACAGGCGCGTTCATGCTGATATGGGCAGGGGAATGGGCATGAGGATCGGGGCCCGGGAGGTGGGTGGGCGGGGGGGGGGTCGGGTGGGCGCGGGGGGAGGGGGGGGGGGGGTGGATGAGGAGGTCTGCACTTGGTGATCATGACGCCCCACCATCACAGGTGCGTTCGTGTTGAAATGGGCAGGGGAATGGGCATGAGGAGGGGGACCCGGGGGGTGTGCGGGGGGGGGGGGGGGGGGGCGTTGTGGGGGGTGTTGGGGGGGATCGGCGGAGGAAACGAGGAGCTCTGCACTTGGTGACCATGACGCCCCACCATCACAGGTGCGTTCATGTTAAGACGAGCAAGAAAATGGGCATGGGGGGGGCGGGGGGGGGAGGGGGGGGAGAGAAGGGGTGGGGGGGGTTGGGGAGGGGAGAGGCGGAGGACATGAAGTGCTGCGCATTTCGCATGACTTGAGCAAGTAACTCAATCATCAGCAGGTGCGTTCATTCATGCTGGGAACAAGTGCAGCAAGAGAGGGAGGGAGTTGGGTCGATGCTCTCAAGGTCTTGGTCCCTGTGCTTTGCAGGACCCGTAAATCTAGCACCATGCACCATGACCATGCACCATGCACCCTGCACCATGCACCCTGCACCCTGCGCCCCGCGCCCTGCGCCCCACACCCCGCACCCTGCACCCTAAACCCCGCACCCTAAACCCCGCACCCTAAATCCCGCACCCTAAACCCCGCACACTAAACCCCGCACCCTAAACCCCGCACCCTAAACTCCGCACCCTAAACCGCGCACCCTGCTACCTGCACCCTGCACCCTGCACCCTGCACCTTGCACCCCGCACCCCACACCCTAAACCCAGCACCCGAACCCCGCACTCTAAACCCCGCAGCCTAAACCCTGCTACCCGCACCCCGCACACTGCACTACGCGCCCAGCACCCGAGTGCGCTCGTATTTCGTCATATATCTGGTCGTCTTGCGCAGTTTGTCTGACGCATTCTTCCCCGCTTTCTCTCTGGGAGCCACGAACCAAAGAGACCCGGGAGCAACCCAAACCTCATTTACGCTCACCTGGTCTGCAGGTCTCGCGCGCCCAGCACTCTGGCGCGCTCGTATTTGGTCATGTATCTCATCGCCTTGCGATGCCTGACTGATGCCCTTCCTCACCTAATCTGCAGGTCACGATTCCTGCCTGAGTCGAATACCCTTC